AGATACAAGATTTTTTCTTCGTTCTGCTGCCTTTCATTTTATTTTGTGATATGTTTTGTATTTTTTGTAATGTAAACTTTTTTTTTGTTTTAAATGAAATGAATAAATGAATAAATCAAATCAAATCAGGCATGTTAGAAGAGAAAAACGATTAAAATTTGTTAGACGCTTGTACTGTATCTTCGCCTGTTTTGAGGGATTCAATCATACCTGGCAACCCGAGCAGCAGGAGAATCCCCCGTTCTGAGCGCTGTGTGCTCACAGAAGGGTTTAAGGAGGAAAAAACACGGGGTTTCGCGCTCGTGACCGCACCGGGTCTTTTGCCCGGGTTCAAAACGCTCCGTTCGTGTAAGTCTCAACACTTGTCAGTCATTATTCACCGAGTTTATCACAACGTTGTAGTTTTGTTAAGTTGGCTAGCTGCGCTGTTAGCCGCCTAGCTCCTCCGCTAAGCGCGCACACTGACGTGAGTGGACGCAGATGCGTCATGATGTTTGTTGTTTTTGAATCCAGCACAGACTCGTTTGTGTTTTGCCATTAACAGTAAGCAGTGGCAAGAAACGGAGCGGGTTTGCGGCTGAAGTGATATTAAGGTCAGTGAGTGGCGAAATGTCGTTGTGTAGCAGAAATGTAACTGAGTGAATACTGTTCGTTAGGATAACGTGACGCCGCCGTCGCTTTGAGCTAGCGAAAAAATGGTAAACACCACGACGTGATGGGGAAAAAAGGCCTGCTAAGGGAGTTCAGTAACAGAAGTGGCACTTTTCCAGGCAAGCGGTGTCATTCCCCTGTTAATTAACATGGCTGTGTGGTTAGTTGCGGTTATGAGGGAGGAGTGGTGGTAACTAAAGACAGATGTGTTGTTTTAGCAAAGCATCTGGACAGTATCCACATCAGTGTTCTGTTGATCAAATTACACATATTTAATAACATCATGTGTTTACAGGTGGGACACTGACTCAGTTTGATGTTGATCTCAACTTGCTCCTCATAAACATTTATTGTAAAACGCAAAGAGATATTCTGTGTCAGGCAATTGTGTCAAAAATACATATTGATCTAAAGATGTTCTGCTTATTTCCACCTCATCAGGTAATAAATAAGAGCTTGATTGTTTAAAGCCATCATTTGAAGATAAATGTGCATCTGCTTGTATGTGCATGGAGGGTTAGTGAATCCTGTTCTTGTAAAGAGTTACTTTGAGTTGGATAATTAACCCAGAAACGGATCAACATAATGAAAATCAGATTAATGTGTCACAGATTTGAGCCTTTGCGGCATCTGTGGACAAAGAAGTTAATCACTTGTTTAAGCCTGGTATTTGAAAATAAATAAAAATAAAATAAAATTTAGGAGAACGTTTTTATGCTTTAGTGTACAAAACTAAAATGTAACCAAATAACTGCAGAAATGTGATCCATTATTAATCTCAAGACAAAAACACTTATTTCTTTTTCTTGATTTTATTTATAGACGATTATCGTGAAACATACCTCGGATGTTTTCTCTAAATTCCACCACGCTGACATCTCCCACCACCAGGGACAAAAATACACTGGATAGTGTTTATATGAACATTCCTGGCAGCCACAGGTCCTTCCCATGCTCTCGTTTTAATCTGTCAGGACATATTTGTTTGCCTTTCCTGCCAACACTCAACCAGCTGAATAAAAAGGATCAGATCAGCAGGAAATTAACGACATCATTCCTTTTAGGAATGCACGTCTCAGTATATGATTAATAAAAGATAGATATAGGCATTTTGGTCATATTTTGTAAATGATGTTATGCATGATCTCATACTGTGAGATTTCACAAGATGTGAACTGGGTGGAGTAGTTGTTCTAGCTCAGAGTTTCTGTTGTAATTTAGCCCAGTGTTTATAAATGTTCCTGTTATATGTCTTTGTGTCTGTGAAGTTCGATTAGACATGGTGGCCATCTGGGTTGGATCCAAATAATAATGAGTTGTTAATGTTTATTTATTGATAACTCTCTGAGAGTTTGCTTAAAACCTGTCAAATCTATCATCTTGAGTTGTGTGGACTCAGAGGGATTCAGTGTGTACCCAACATACAGTTAAATATCACAAGCGTGAGCTCCACCTTTCCACTGTCATCTGTGGACGGGTGGAGCAGCAAAGATGGCGCCCAAGCTGACAAAGCAACTATTTGATTAAGTGCAAGCTCAACTAGATTTGTGCCACAAATTATTTGTAACATTTTTTTTACAATAAATTAATATGATTGATAATTATGTTAATAACTAGATTATGAATAGGGAAAATATATACATAATGATATAAACGAGATTCAGTCAGTCAATAAC